GTGTGTTTTGTGCATTCGTTGTGACAAGGCTTGTGTTTATAAGCAGTGTATAAAATCTGAACTGAAAGACTGGTATTTGATTAGTCATTTTAATTTTATAAATTTTATTTGCAACGAATGTTGAGAATTATTTTCAAATCATACACATCGATTTTTATACACTGCATTTAAGAATTATTAATATTTATATTAATATATATATATGTATCTTTTTTAATTTTCAGAAAATAATTTCTCAAGTATCTAAGGAAATAGACACATTAGCTCGTAATAATCTTAAGGAAGAATTACGAGTAATTGACCCAATTTTAATGATGTCACCGACTAGTGCAAGTTCAGGAGGTGGAATAATGAATTCTTCAAATTTTGTTAATACAAACAGCATTACAACAATCAATGGGAGTGATGGTTTATGGGACGAAGGATGGAATGCAACTTAACTTTTGAATATATTTATTTTCATAAATTAGAAGTAATATATCAAATAAAAACTTATTTGATATTTGGTTTCAAATTATCTATATATAATTATAACTTTAACTAATATATAATAAGAACAAGGTTACATTAATCAAATTTATTATTATTTTTTTTTAATAGATAACATAGAAATGAGATTGAAATATTTATTAATATATAAAAAAATGTAAATTATTTTATCAAAATATATAATGTATAATTAGTTAAACATAATAAATTTTAAGTTAATTTATTATATAAAAAACTTTTTAAAAATTTAATAATACTAGTTGTTAGATACGTTTAAATGCTTTAGCTTTTTTTTTTTAATTCTAATTTTTTTTTATTTTAAAATATTTTTATTTTTATTAATATATATAATTTAAGAAGAATTTACAAATAAAAGCTATAAAATATTTTTAATTAAAAATCAACTCTTCTCTCTGATCACTTGGATCTAAGTAGAGCAATACTAACCTGTAAAAAATATAGAAAATATAACAAAAGTATACATAACTTTTTCTAGTAATACTGCAGAATTAAAATATTTAGCTCATAGCTTTTGAAAAATACTATTTTGAGATTGTAGTCTTAATATTATATATCTAGAAACTTTTGAATAAGAAGTAGTATTGTTAGAAATATTTGTTAAATATTTTGTTTATTTATATACTTATTCTATTATTATATTATTTCAAAGTAATATAATCTTATAGTTATTACAATATACTTTACAAGTAAGATTCTACTATATATATCTTTTAGATTTTTTCTACTACTAGCCTTTTTAGTTTTTTTGAAGTATTTTAGAAAAATCAGTTTCTTTTTTCTAAAAGATTTACTGATCAATAAACTATATTAGATATTAGCTTATTTATATTCAGAACTATATAAACAAACACATGATAGCTGAAACATATACTATAAGAAATCTGTGTTGATAGCTACTTAGATTTTGTCTTGAATTAAACTCTCTAAGATATAGATTAAATATTTTATAATAAAATATAGCAAAAAATATAGAGGAGTAGTTATATACAATTTTTATTATAGTTATATTAGAAGTAATATGGTATATATTATTTTATTTATTTATTTTTTTTTTATTTTGTTTTTACCTATTTAGTTTAGTTTATTTTAATCTATAGCAAGTTTTTTTCTAGTTTAGATATATAGTATAGATCATTATTACTTAGATATATATAATTTTATTTTTCTTTTTTATTTTTCTTTTTGCAATAATTAGTCTCTACCTTTTTTCTTTTCTTTAAGTAATACCTTAAAGATAAAATAATTTGATACTGACTAGTATAGTCAGAATAAGTTATAAAATATTAGCTTTTAATCTCTAATTTAGAAACTTTAAAAAAAATAAAAAGTTAAAGTTAGATAAAATTTTAATATAGCAAATTACCAAAAAAAAGACAAAGTCATTTCTAAAATAATATCTAGAGAACTAAACTGAAAAGGAGCGAAATATATGGGATAGAGCGAAAGCAACAAGACTATTAGGAGTAATAACCAAGGAGTATGGCAGAAAGATAATAACAGAAGGCAGTAAGTCAGTAATGGGCCTCGAAGATCATATGGATAAAATGATAGCGGAGATATTAGAT